ATGTGAATTTTCGTCACAGCCACAAAAAGCACTCCGAAATTCACGGGAACTTACGTCACCATGCTTTTTTCTGAAAAACGCACTTTCGTCACATGTGACGAAAGTACACCCCCCCTATGACGAAAGTTCCTTTTACCGATCGAACTCTTCGTTTTCGAGATGGCGCTGAAATTTTTCTTCATAGTTTTGATTCGGAAAGATGATCTAATTCTTTACCCGAACTTTTAGCCGATGTATTCACCGACAAGACTTTAGTTTGTGTACCAGAATTACTTTTAGCAATAAAAAAGCGAGAATTCCTCTTCTCTTAAGACAAGAGAAGAAGAAGTGGAAGAGGTTTAAAATTTTTGAAGGAGACAGAAAAACTGATTTTTTCGCGGATTATCGACATGAAGATAATGTGTCTCCACATTTCGCGTTACTATGCAACATAAAATAATCATAATAATCAATTATTAACTGATTTCACTCTCTCTATATAAGGGCGCATAAAAGTTTGTGAAACTTTTTAAGAGACAGAAAATAAAATATATCACGGCAAGCGGCCGTTACATACGCACACCTCCTGGATCAGAGACCTGTTTTAGCTCAGATAGGTCTGATCTGAATCAAACTTTCAGAGGACGTTGACCATGTCAACGAGTGGCAACGAAATGTTTTTTTGGCGTCACTTGCAACTGTGTGTGAGAGGACACCACAACAAGGGCCAAAAGTAGGCGTCTACTACGCACAAGAATTCGCATTCCAGGTAAACGATGAAGAGCTCGGACTGTTTTTGTTTTAGAATGATACTGATCTATACCTATGTGTAGACTACGGTCTACGTCTAGGCACATACTTATTTTTGACAGCTTCCCTTAGTGGTACGAAGATTCTGCAGTGTTTTCGCCAAAAGTGGAGAAATCGATATTTCGAAAATTCCTCCATGGAGGAATTATATCTGAACTGCAGTTCAGATATAATGGAAACTGGAGAATAAACACTCACAAGGGAAGGCCACCAACTGTCCCATCGCTTTGAGACGAAACCTAGTGGGTGACAGGTAATCGACCATGCTGAATCCGAATGTCACAATCGTTTTTCCCCAAAGATGTCTGGAGATTTCGGTTTGTGGAAAACCAGTTCTTCAGGCACTAAAAAATAACCAAAACTTTTCTTAATAAGGCCTGATTGTAGCCTACATATTTCTGATTAAAATGAGACATCTCCCAGCTCTACACGACCTTTCTTTGTAAAGTTATAGAATTTACAAGAAAAGCCCTAAATTAATTTCTTACTTCTATGGCTTTGAGCTGACAATGAATATTTAGGGCTTTTCTTGTAAATTCTATAACTTTACAAAGAAAGGTCGTGTAGAGCTGGGAGATGTCTCATTTTAATCAGAAATATGCAGGCTACAATCAGGCCTTATTAAGAAAAGTTTTGGTTATTTTTTAGTGCCTGAAGAACTGATTTTCCTCCACAAATCGAAATCTCCAGACACCTTTGGGGAAAAACGATTGTGACATTCGGATTCAGCATGGTCGATCACCTGTCACCCACTAGATTTCGTCTCAAAGTGATGGGACAGTTGGTAGCCTTCCCTTGTCAGTCTTACGTGCTCAATATGCTTTCATACAGAAAAGAAGCCCAATTAGTGAACAGCTATTAAATTTTACGGAAAATCCGTTCTCAAAGTGACATGATCTCTGTGTCAATTAAGGAAACATCTGACCTATATCGCTTGAAAGTTATTCAGAGCACGACAGAGCCCGTTCTATTGTGAAATACATGCATTAGAAATAGTAACGAACCAAGTGTGCATTTTACTCGACATTGTATTTTGCTAGTCCTGTAAACTTATTTCCGTCTTTGTATTTTCCATAGACTGTCACTTCTTTTTCATTCGTTAGTTTGAGCTGATGTTTTAGAATATTATTTTCATAGCTGTCAACCGTTTTCCATTCAGAATCAGACATCAGTTTTACTTCACTCGCATTCGGTATTTGCCAGTGAAAATGAACGTTCGAGCCTCTTTTAATAACACCGTTTAGTGGTTCAAATATTCGACACCGGTCAGTTTCAAATCGAGTATAGATCACTGGGAATCTAATTGAACGTTTTAGTTCGGTAACGTTGAGACCAAATTGAACTGCAGAAGAGGACGTTGTGTCGATATCTGAAGTGCGCTTTGCAAAGATGGTTAGTGTGTGTGTACCTGCAGAACGTGGAGCAAATAAACAATGAAACAATTCTTTTTCGGCATCGTACTGAATCAGATCACCGTTTTCGATTGTTTTTTCATCCTTGGCGATTTTTGATGTTAACTGAATGTCATCGGGTGCTCGAATCAAAATTTCACAGTAAGATGCGCCCGGTGGCCATACTCCGAATCGACTGTTCTGGGGAGCAACTACTTCCATTTGATAATCATGGAAACATTGCCACGTTTTGGGATACGAAATGGGTGATTTGAGATGAGTGGCAATCAATTCAAATTCTAAAGCGCATGGATACGTACCTGTCTCTGTTTCCTTTTTGGCGAATATTGTGATTACGAATTTGCCGTTTTTCGGCGGTGCAAACTGGCATCGCCAAAGACTTTTTCGATTATTAAAATATACTTGATCACCTCCAGTTACCTTTTGGTTATCAGAGTCTTTCAAGCTGCCAATAAGTGCAACCCCTGCCGGAGCTCGAATCAGTATTTCCGCTGACACCACATTGTCTTTCAGATAAAGAAAGAAAGAGTTTCTCGGATGTAATACTTCGAGATTCAGATTGAAATAGGGTTCCCATGTTTTTGGATATGATATAGATGAGTTTAATGGTCCTTTTACATCGAAATCAAACGCAATCGCGCTTGGATAAGTACCTTCAGTGCCCTTTCGTTTGGCATATATATGTATTTTATGTAGACCAGACGACTGAGGAGCAAAATAACATTTGTAATAACCTTTCTTTTTGTCATAGACAATGCGTTCACCACCTTTTACGGCTACTTTGTGCAATTGCAAATTGGCAATAATATCAACATCTAACGGTGTTTTCAAAATAATAATTGTATACGGTTTGCCTTTAAGAAGAGAAACGGTCGGTGAAAATTTTGGTACAATCATTTCGAGCTTCAACTCAAAATAGGTTGGATAAGTCTTCGGCAAAGAGAGAAAATCTTGTTTTGATATCGGATGAGCCAGTAGTTGCCACTGCTCATTCTCTGGCAAATGATGATAGATCATTTCATCGGGCCTAGGCAAAAAGTAATAAGGCTTTAGTTCTTTTTTGAAACGTTTGGAATCGTCAAGAGAGCCCGCTCCCCACGTTCTGAGTGTTCATTAATGATGCCATCCTTTTATATTACTCTTTGGTAAGTAGTACCTTATAAATGTCAAATTGCGGTTTTTATGCTGTAAACTTGTTCTAAGTCGTAAGTTATGACGCGCATTAGCATCTGAAAGTCGCTTTTGTTCATGACAGCTTCAAGAGTGACAGTCCAATATATTAGGGTTTCTTTCGATGAATAGCGATTATCCAACGGAGGCATGACGTAGCTCAATAGTCAAGAAGGTTGAATTTCTGACCGGACTATCGAGATCTATAACGTTCAAACTTTATTGGAGGAAGATGATAGTGATAATTATGAAAACGCCTATCATCCCTGACAAATGTAAAACTGGAATCAACATCGAATTGTGCTGAAAGTAACTCTTGTTACACACAAAGTCGGCGAAAACATTTGGAAGATCCATCTTTAACTCAATGATTACTTGATCACAATATTTTCGAATAATGCTTTTGATTCAATGAAATACCATCGATTCTCAATTTCAACAAAATTCCATGCATGATCTGTATCAGCTAGAGCTGCTTCGCCTAACTCAAATCCGTACCCTTTGGAATATCCACTCGTGTTTTCGCACTTCAAGCCAATTTCGTCAGCTAATTTTTTATACAGATTTCCGTATCCTGCACAAACACCTTTTCTCGACTTGAATACGTCTTCAGCAGACTGATTCGCATAGTTTTTGCTAAAATAAGATACCGTGTCATATTCGATATTCCGACCGATCCAATAGAATATAATCCATGCTTTGTCAACCGACGACTTATTCGCGGAGAATTCACGCATTAAATCGCTTAGATGTTTCAAGGAAGATGGTGGCCACGAGTCAACGATTTTTCGATACGTTTGGTTGTCAATAGCGCTTTGACGTTGTTGACAGAATTTAGAATTGAATGCATTTGGATCTTGAAGATTAAGATCAATGTTGCGACTTTTAGTCTCTAACAGTGCTGATACGGTCACATTTTCATCGAGTATGTCTCGCTTGAGTTCTTGGTTCGTCACATCGATATCGATGAATGCATCCTCATCATATCGTCGTCCCAAATAATTTTTTTGCGTATTACCAACGTGTATGGGAGTAGGATGAACAACAGGCTCAACTTTACTACCTTTTCCACATTTACAGCCCATTATGATTCAAAAATATGGTTAATAGAATAAACGCTTTTTAAATTGGAATTTATAGGCAAATGGAAAAGAAAGAACAAAATTAACTTGAAATGGCCTTTTTGCAATAATATTACTTTGAAAGCAATTGAAGGTGATAAGAATAACATTTAAAAAAGCACAAGTCAACATCTTTTTTGTATTTCTTGACTACGACAAACAACATACGTAAGTAAATCACAATGAGATAATCATTTTTGTGAAGGTGAATGACATCAGACAGGGGTTGTACCATGCTTTTTCATGTTTTAGGAAATCAGTTATGGAATGTAAAAGACTTAAAAATATTATGTAGTTAAGCGAGGTATACTCATTTAGATTTGGCCCAAACTTTCTCAGCTTTTAGAAGATGTCTTGAAGTATACATATATCTTAAAATGTTTTCAGCTGACGGACATTCCCTGAGATAAAAGTTATTTACTCGAAAAATTCAAGTTAATTGTTAAATACCAGCGCTCTTTTAAACAATCCCAGCGGATTTGTTTTTCATGATAAAACTCTGGTTCTAACGTAAAACGAAAGAAAATTCTCTGAAGATTATTTATTAAGAAAGGAAAAGTAAAAATTTCTGTTCTTTCCTGTCGGATAATTATTATTTAGTTCTAATTAATGATAATGTCCCTCTGTCTGGTCATTTAACGTCCCATGTAAAAAATGAATTCTTAGTCGAAAAGGCCGAGTGACATCTCGTTTGGTTGAGAATTTCGAACTCTACTAGATAGAGCATTATTCAAATTTTTATATTTATCTTTAAAGGTTTAAGTAGTCTGTTTTCTTTCAGCAGGTACGATGAGGCTAAGTAGATGCGGTGCGATCCAATCAAAGAAAAGACAATAACCTTTTCTCTTTC